ATGCTCAGAGTCCCAGGTTCTTTAGTGCAGTATTATTTATTGTGAGCAATATATATATATATAAATATCTACAGAAGCAGTTCATATAATCAGACAGAGTACCTGGCTGCACCTTGAGGCAAAAGAAGACTCCACACTCATCCAATCACATTACATACAGCCAATCACATTACTGCTGAGTCATTCTGACCCAGCACTTCCTCAAAATCTTCTCTACCTGCAGCCTGATCCTGTGTGCATAGCTCTAGCTGAGAAGTTAAAAGAAACAAATTTGCAAGCTCCAGTATGTTTTACAACCTATTCCTTCTTTCTTTGTTTGTTTGCTTAACTCATTAATTGCCTTATACAAAGATGGATCTAGACCAGTGTTTCCCAACCGGTGTTCCGCGGCACACTAGTGTGCCGCGAGACGTTGCCTGGTGTGCCGCGAGATGTTGCCTGGAGGGAGGCGGGCGAGTCGGGCGGCGAGAGGCGGGGCGGCGGCGGTGAGGAGAGGCCGCCCAGCGCGGGGCTCTCGCCGTCTGCCTGCCTGGCTGCCTGCGTGGCGCTGACGTCACGGGGCTGTAACGTGCCCCACATAGGCACACGTGGGGCGGCGAGCGAGCTCCCTCCCACATCCCATCGCCGCTCGCTTCGGCCGGCCTACTGGGCTGTCGCAGGCGGAAGGCCTGCGCATGCGCGAGGTTTTCGCGCCTTCGGGATTCCCTTCACGCCTTCCTCCTCCCGGGTCCTTGAGAGCGCGGGAAGCGGCAGCGCGAGACCGGCGTTGAGCCTGGTAGGTATTGCGCTTGCCAAGGCAGTCATTTGGGAAATGAAAACTTGCAAAGCAAGCAACCAGTTCAATCTGAAGTACGTGTATGCTTAATATCCTGTATCTGAAACCTGTTCTGCCCCCTCCCCCACACTTGGTGCCATTTTCATCTACACATGCAGCAGAGTAAGTTGACCCAGAATAGTACCAATTCAGATGGCAGATGGGAAAATGACAGTGCTGAATGCTTTCCCATGTAGAACAGTCCCTGCAAATAAAAACCTAGCATATTTGGAAGAGGGATGCTAGCCTAACCATTACCTTCTATGCTGTTACAATTTTTTTATTTTTTTTTTACATAAGTAAAAAGTGACCTTTCCCCATCTGGCATGGTGGTGTGCCTCGAGATTTTTTTCATGAAACAAGTGTGCCTTTGCCCAAAAAAGGTTGGGAAACACTGATCTAGACACATCAAAGAAGCGTTTCAGTTTAAAGCCTTGTAAATTTAAGCAGGGAAAACAGGTAGAGAAGAACGGGCCTCTATGTTGCCATCTGGTGGCACAATGTTATATCGCACATATAAAATATATAAATCGCTTTTTCTTTAGCAGTCTAGCTGCATCTCAACACTCAATTATGCATAAAATTTAACTGCAACAATGGATGACATTCAGTGATGTGCACCTGTTTGTGCAATGGAGATCCATTTATGCAATGCAACCTCTGACTAATCTTCTCCTCCGCCAGCCTCCCATATGCATCCAAAATCTGCTTCAGAGGTCCCAAAACATGCAGAGCTGATGATGGGGTGCACATGGGCTGCAAGGGGGGGGATTGCATTGCATCAGTAGACACTTCCTTGTGCTACGTTGGATCTCATGACATCAGTCCACTACAAAGGATCATCCAAATAATTCTCAATACATTAATCCACAACCTCCCAGTCACCATAAAATCAGCCAACTCACAAATCCTGCCCAACAGCAGTGATGAAATCACTGCGATCAAATGCCTATTGGATTCTGTGATTGTAAGCGATAGTTGTTTGCCTATTCCTAAGTAAATCTTAGAAACTAAATAACTTACATGGCCAAAAAAAGTATTTTGCGATACCTTTAGTTTCTTCCTGATAAATATGCATTCAGAACTGGTCAGAGGAAACTTTTAGAACTCCATTGCCCTTCCACAATGCCCGCAAGGCATGCTGTCAGTAATGTGATTTTACTGTACCATCTCCTTGGAATGCTTTACCTTTTTATACTTTTTAAGGTGAACACTTACTGTCACTTTAAAGATTACATATCGTGGAAGTGTTCTTATTCAGTGATTTCCCATGCACCCTGAGCATTTGCATTGCTCGAGGTGGTTTCTACTTTGAAGAACTTTAAAATCACAGAGGAGCTGTCCCTTACAAAGATTTTTACATCACTGGGTAACTGCTCTCCCTTTGAGAGTTTTCATGTTATTGTGCAATTCCCCCTTTGAAGATTTACATAGTGATGAAGGAGAGCCTTTGAAGATGGAGTCATTACCAGGGTAGGAATAACCTTTTTTAAATATAAAAAAGAGGATAAACCCCCAGAAAAGTTTCCATCATTAGACTACCCATCCATGAAAAGCTCCTCTAATAATTAATTATTCAAAACAAAAATATCTCACAGCACTTTTTTGTTCTAGAGAAGCGTATGTAGAATGATGCAAATCCAATGATGTGGATCAATCCAACCACAACTTGGTGGCCCAGATTAAACCACCAGGATGTATTGAATACTTCCAGTTCATAAGAGCACCAACTCATGGGGACAGAGCTGTTTTGGCCCCCACAATAGCTTTTGGGCGGTGCTACCCCCCCCCCCAATGTTGAGGGGGCAGAGGTAAATGTGCCATGCCTTCAGTGGCCAGCTCCTCCTTCTTCTGCCACCTCCTCCAGACAATGTGATGTTGCGTATGTGATATCACACACACACATACGCATCATGCGCAATGCCAGGCCTCCTCAATCTTCGGCACAAGTTGACGCTCTGTAAGAGTATAAGTATTGTCTTACTGGAACTGGATTGTGCCATAGTCCAACTAATCCAGCAGACATTGACCACATTCACACCATACGTTTGATTTAAAGCTCTATGGTACCACTTTAAACACTCATAAAAAGGTAAAGGTAAAGGACCCCTGACAGTTAAGTCCAGTCGTGAACGACTCTGGGGTTGTGGTGCTCATCTCACTTTACTGGCCAAGGGAGCTGACGTTTGTCCAGAGACAGTTTTTCGGGTCATGTGGCCAGCATGACTAAGTCGCTTCTGGTGAAACCAGAGCAGCACACGGAAACGCCATTTACCTTCCTGCCGGAGCGGTACCTATTTATCTACTTGCACTTTGATGTGCTTTCAAACTGCTAGGTTGGCAGGAGCTGGGACCGAGCAACGGGGGCTCACCCCATCGTGGGAATCAAACCACCGACCTTCTGATCGGCAAGTCCTAGTCTCAGTGGTTTAGACCACAGTGCCACCCACGTCCCTTAAACACTCATGGATTCCCCCAAATAATTCTAGAAGCTGTAGCTTGAGAGTTGTTATGGGACCTGTATTCTCCCTCACACAGCTACAATTCCCAGAGTGATTTAACAATCACTCCTCCCAGGGAACTCTGGGACATGTACCTCTGCAAGGGTCAGAGACAATATGCTTCTTGAATCACAAGTGGGAGAGTGATATTGTTCCCTGCTTGTGGGCCTCCCATGTGGTTGGCAATGTGAAAATAGGATGCTAGACTAGATAGGCCATTACTCTGATCCAGAAGGGCTCTTCTCATGCTTTTATATTCTTAGGATAAGAGAGAGTCCCAGGAACCTTTGCATCACTACTTAAGAATACTTACTTTGGTGTCCACAGTATGGGGAATGCATGGGACAGGAACAAGTGGCTTTGAGATTTTGAGGAAAACTATATTTAAAAAATCTGACATTTCACTTGGTTGGATTAAGCCCTGGTTGCCCTAATGGCCCAGCCTCAGCTGACTTTAATCAGGGAGTAGAAGAATTGAAGAGTGGAAACAACACAGTAAATAAAAATTCTAGAATTCAAAGAGGGCATTTCATCATATGAAATCACATTTCAAAGGCATTATTTCAGTTATCTATGTAAACTAATAACTTGGGGGGCCCTCAGCCACATAGGGGCCTAGTTTTGCCCAAACTGTGAGTATCTATAAAATCTACCACTGGGTAGAGGAGAGAAACAGAATGAGAAGAATGAAGAAAGAAAAAAGAGAAGGGGGGGGAGAGAGAGACTCAGAAAACGTAAGGAAGAAAAACGAATGTGCTAGAGTCCATTTAATGTCACAGCTACCATGGCTACATCACCACATTTGTCCATAACATGGTATAATGATTTGCCAGGGTAATATTTAAGCTTACATCATAGCCAATATAATTTATAGAACTTGCTTTTTGCTTTCTAATGATGCTCTAATGTTAAATCCACATGGTTTTCATTCCATGTACAGAATCTGCAAGCATTTCTAAAAAGTCAAGGCCAGACATCATTTCCAGTAAAAATATATACCTTTCAGTGCTGTGGAACTTGATTTTGACATTTCGCATGTGGCAGCTAATGCCTGCAGTAAATTTTGATCACTGTTTCAAAAACAGAAATCTGTCATCACATCTTAAGATTGTCCAAATGCAAAAACCAGATGCCCAGTTCTCAAAGAAGTTTAGGCGGCAATCCTGTGCCCAGTTACCTGGGAGTAGATCCCATTGAACTGAATGGGGTTGACACCTGGATAGACATTGCACTGTTCATGGTTATGCAATCCCCCCCCCCAAAAAAAACCACTCTATAAAAGAAAGGTACTTCTTAAAGTTATAATGACTTTTATCTTAGGCCATACACTTCATTTCAACCTAAAGCTTTTAATTTTTAATTTACTGAGGGTAATGAAAGAACAGGAAAAGTTGCCAATAGACTCTAGAAACCTTAATGCTTAATGTGCTTTTTATTGTAACCCCACCCTCTGTCAAGTCCTGGACACTACTCCTGGACACTAATCAGAAGTAAGGAAACATCTTCAAATAGGTGTTTTGTTTTTTGTAAAAAATAAAAAATAAAAAAGATTTTCATGAAATACAAAAGAACGAGCAATATCTCTCTCTTTTTTGTTCAGATTATAAAGTCTTTTGGTTACGTTCAGTGCAAGACAATATGGTATCCAGAGGTAGGAGGAGAGAGTAGAAGGGACAGGGTGGGTGATAAACTTACACACCTTTTTTTGTGTGTCTTTCCATCCTTGCACACAGACCATGCTAATCTTCCCTACTACATTCCAATGTTCATATATTCACTGCCAAAGCGAGTACTCAGAAGAGTACTCAGAAGATGGCAAAACAAAGGCAGCCCTGGCTTTTGAGGAGAAGAAGAAGAAAGTTCTTCTGGGGGTTCTTGCGATGGATGACCTCATTCCAAATTGAGCTGGGGAGAGTGTGTCCTTCACTACCAGCCATTCGCAAAGCAGGGGAATGCATTGTATTTTATCCTACGGCCTTTATCAATGTTTCTCTGTTCTGTCTGAGAATCACACAAGGAGAAGAGATTCGTGGCTCTGAATATGGGTCATCAGCCTTCTGCACATCATTTAATCCAGCACAGCTAGCGAAAAAATGGCCATGCATCCCCATACTCATTTTTAGAGCCAGATATTTTAAAACAAACCCTTGACATATTGAGAGCTGGTACTTGAAGTTAGTCAGGCCTTAGCCCTTTCCCATCCTTCTATTGAATATTCTGCCGCTAAATGTGAAAGGTGTGGAGACTTCCTTTAGAAATAACTTTGTTTGAGTAGAAAGCAGTAAGAGTCGAACAAAAGATGTATTGACTGAGTGGAGAGCGTTTGCCCTTCTGGGTCTCAAGAGGGGTGGGGTTACAAATGAAGTGAAATACAATCTTTGTGTTAAATTCTTACAATGATTTTTCCATATCAAAGATTCCATCTGAATAAATTTAGTGCTGGGGTGTGTGTGGAATAACACTTTTTTAAAAAAAAAAAGTGCAGCTGAAATCGCTTTAGTACTGCAACATCCCTCAGTGCCTCTAAGAATAATTTCCTGAATTTTTCCAAGTGCTTCCTATTGCAATACAGTGGTACCTCGGGTTACATACGCTTCAGGTTACATACGCTTCAGGTTACAGGCTCCGCTAACCCAGAAATAGTGCTTCAGGTTAAGAACTTTGCTTCAGGATAAGAACAGAAATCGGCTCCAGCGGTGCAGCGGCAGCAGGAGACCCCATTAGCTAAAGTGGTGCTTCAGGTTAAGAACAGTTTCAGGTTAAGAACAGACCTCTGGAACGAATTAAGTACTTAACCTGAGGTACCACTGTACAAAGGGAGCGATTTGTACAGGGTGGTGGGGATTCCTTTGCACTAATTATTTGCATTGATTAACAGGGAGAAGTTGAAGCTGTGGGGATGAATTGTTTTCAAGTAAGTCCTGGCAGACCTCAGCAAAACCATTTCAGCCCATCATTTCTTTTAAACATTTCTAAACTGCTCCTCATCTAAATGAATCACAGAATGAAGACCATGATTAACTCCAAAACCAAGACAATATAAAAATGTAGGGTGGTATTCAGCATTAGTCCTACGCCAAGTAGATCCATAAATATTAATAACTATTAGGTTCATTAATTTCAGTGGGTCAACTCTAAGTAGGAGTTATTTGAATGCAACCCATAATCCATTGCTAGGCAGCAGAAACTAAATGCACATACACATAAACACACACAGCTAAAACCAAAAGCTAATCACACAAAATATAACGCATTTAAAAATGCCTGGGCAGATGAAAAAGTTTTATTCTGGTGGCAAAAATGCTGTAATGTCCACACACCCAGAAAGAAGACTCAAGAAGCAAGGAAGGGATAGAAAATGATAAATTTATGAAATATATCAAATAGAACATCTGCAACATGATTAGCCAAGTTCAGAAAGTTTGGGCAGCTGTGGTTCTATATGAATCTGGCTGGAATACATCCCTCCAGTCCTCTGGGCATGTTTCTAGCTGCAGCATGTGACTGACTTCCCAGCCAAGGAATGGCAGACTCTCCAAGAATTTCCAGGGACAGTCCCAGATTTGCAGAAGCTGTCCAAGATTCTGATTTGCAAACTGAGACAGGAGCTGCTCCAATCAGCCTTGTGTGGGAGGGGCTTATCCTCTATATCCCTGACTCTGTGTGATTTGCTGTTCAGAGGTCCCAAAGAAAGCGGATTTCCTGAGGGAGGGTCCTGTCAGTGCACTGTGCAGGAAACCCCAGGGACAAGCAAGAGGCCTGGCTTTTCACCACTCCTCTCTCTTCCCCTCAGCAGCGCTCCCTTGCACCAGTCACACTGTCCTAGATCTGCCTCTGCAGGAACCACAGCTAAAGAATCCCTGACCATTGGCCATTAAACTTCTGTCGAAAAACTATAATGAGCAGACTGCCACTTTCCAGTCAATGGGTTGGTTACGTGTGTGTGTGTGTGTGTGTGTGTGTGTGTGTGTGTTTCAGCAAAACATGCTAAGATTCTCAGGGGACTAAATCCTTTTCAAGATACCATGACTGACTGGCATGGAATCGGGCTCAGTAGGCAGAATAGCCCTCTTATTTCCCACATGCATGTGGAAGGTGCATCACTATGATTTCCAGTGGCTGGGGAATGAAGCTTCAACTTTGCACGGCCACTTATCTCTCTGCTATGAGCAGCAAATGCTAAGCAAATCAGCAAACTAGATGTGAAACTCTTGGATTTGCATAATTTATACAGACACACCATTTGAATGTTTAGTGTGCCGAAGAGTGGGCTGCCTAGGAGAGACATTATTTCTGGCCTCACAGAAATGGTAGGATATACACCGACAAAACAAGGAGACCCGGCTATCTCACTTCATGCAGAGTGCTCCAAACTGCTTTCCATTCTACTTTGCATCCTTTAACATAGCTTGTCATCATATAGTAAGCTACTTTATATTGAGTCAGGCTGTTGGTCCATCTAGCTCAGTACTGACTGACTGGGAGCAACTTTTCAGAGTTTCAGACAAGGGATAATTCCAGCCCTATCTAGAGATGTTGGGTCTGGAATCTAGGACCTTCTATATGCATGCAGATGTTCTACCACTGAGCTACGACTTTTCCCCTTGTAAATTTTGGATTGCATGTGTGTAGGATGCTTTAGCTTTAGGTATGGAAGGACCAGTCTGTTTCTGGCTTGTGTAGCTTCCACCTGTTTTCATTCTGACCTGTTTCCACATTAAACTGCAAATTCTTCACCCTTCCAAAAGCTCACCTTAAAAAAAAAAATCTGCATAAGAAGTCAGCTTAAAATGCACATTTAAACACATATTTTTGTAAGTATTTTCTCCCAAAACAAGCATTTGTAAATCTATTTTGTTATTTCTTTGCACTTCTAACGTTACTCAGTACTGAGGTCAAAAGAATGATGGATTGCTATGTTCCAGTTTCCACAATAGTCTGGGGAAAGTGTGGATCAGGTCAGGTCTTATTAGCACTTACAAAGACTGAATTCTACGCATATGGAAGCGGAAAAAAAATAAAAAAAAATACAAAGACTGAATTCCTCAAGCCACTCTATTTGGCATATATGTCCCATTTCAATCAGGGCACAGCACAAACCAATCATAAATATTACATTCAATCATCCTAATCAAAAACGCCAATTCTTGTTTTCATGGTTTGAGCAGCAAGCAACCAGTTCAATGGCACATGTCCACTCTCTGCAGAGACTAATGGCATATTATGCATTTTTGCTGCTATCACTCACCCTCATCTCACAGTCAGGATGCATTGTGCACTTTCCAGCCCATTATTTGTTCCCAAAGCCTGAGATAACTGATGGGATGCTTCACTGGTTCTTAAAGTTATTCATAATGATACATGTATGTTTTGAAATGCAATGATACTGAAATGCTGAAGTAGGCAGCCCCTCCCCACAATATCCATCAAAGTGAAAACTATCTGACACTGCAGTCTATACATTACTGGCGATTATAGGAAATTGACTTCTTAAACGATATGGCAGCTGCAGACACGACTGAGGTTAATTTCATCTCTTAATGAGCCTATTTGCAACCCATCCCTTCAGAAGCTGCATGGCTATACTCTGTTTAGCAACAAGAAAATCCAAATTGTCACACTCACAGAGGTTAAATACAAGTGTGTGTGTGTGTGTGTGTGTGTGTGTGTGTGTGTATGTGTGTGCATATAAGCACATACAAGGGACTATCACTCAATTTTAAAAAGCTTAGGCTGAAATTGTAAAAGGAGAAGGGAGAGATAACTGAGGGCAATTGAACTGCTGGATCCACTGACCTAATGGGGCTTATAAAAGCACAGAATCATAGAGTTGGAAGGCAACTCAAGGGTCATCCAGTCTAGCCCCTGCAACACAGGAATCACAGCAGGGAATTATGCTAACAGGGGAGAGGGGAAAAGGGGAGGAGGGGAAACCGCTGCATCAGCAACTGCTTCCTAGTTTGGGGGTGTGTCAGGGGGCTGGGAACAGTAACGGAGGAACCCTCTCTGGTACCCGAGGCGGGACGCCGATGGGCAGGGCAAACCACCTGGTGGCACACGCACAACGTCCATATGGAGTGCGCACATGCAGCATCCTGTATGGACTGTGCATGTGTGGCATCCCGGACGGAGTGTGCACGTGTGGCAGCCTGTACGGTCGCCATGCGAGAGGCAGCCCATATGGACACCTGTATGGATGGCGCGCGAGAGCGGCAGCCCATATGGATGCAGCGCAAGTGGCGCCCATATTGACTGTGCATGCCCTCAGCTGCTCTACAGCTGGGGGGAGGCCATCTTGTCACCTCCCCCAGAGTGGCACCCTGGTCAGACCGCCCCCTCTGCCCCCCACTTTGTACGCCCCTGGCTGGGAAGGCTATGGCCCCTGCCCCAGCAAGCCTTACTTTTGGTCCAACCAATGTTGAGCTCTGAAGAGAATGGGCCAAGGAGGCACCCAATGTCCATATCTCCTTTTTTTAGCTACTCTCTCTTCAGAGGGAGAGGGAGATCTGATGATTCCCATGGCCTGTAGGATGACCACTCAGGAACCAACACACCCATAAAGAAGACCCAAGATGCAGGAATGGGGAAATGGTTAGATTTATTGAACATAACTGTAGAAGATCTGCAAAACCAAATTATAAAAGTGCAGGGTTTGAATTCATTGCTGGACAAGATGACATTTGGGATCCCCCTTCCAACTCTACAATTCTATTACTCCCATTGGGCTCTAGTGCCCATGTGGTCTCAAACTCCCTGCCCTTGGGAGAGACCATCTCAAGTATTCTCGCT